GCTGCTGCTGCTGCTGCTGCTGGTGCTGCTGGGGGTGGTGCTGCTGCTAATGCTGCTGCTGCTGCTGCTGCTGGGGGTGGTGCTGCTAGTGGTGCTGAGGTTGGCGGGGGAGGAGGATGGAGACAGGATCTGCCCCTCAAAGAGCTTCTGGTCAATGATGATGACCTTGCCAAGGCTGTCCCAGTAGATGGCTTCATTGGCCGGGTTGTTCACCAGATGCCATAGTTTACCAGGGAAATAATGAGTACTGATGTTTTCAGCAAGTTGACTTTTACCAGCATCCATGCTTTAGTATGCAGACCTGGAAACAGAGGTGATACTAATTAACATGGGCTAATCAGGTCAACTCTCAGCAGTTAGCTTTAGTTAGCTAATAATCCAGCACAACACATTTACAACCAGTCCTGCAGCTAACTATGAGGTAGCTCAATTTAGCTCAGATGCTACACCTTCAAAACATTTACTTGGAGTGTCTAACTTTTAAAAAAACGACAACAACAATATATTTTAGATTTAACAAGATGGAAACCCCATTAAGTTAACCCAGTATTATTAAAACTCATCATATTAATGACTGTTGACTAAAAAGATTATTAGCTGTACTCTAATAAGTACGGAAGCCCTAAAGGGTCATACATATATACATTTTATACCACCCGTTTTCCCGTGATAACGAGAAAAATATCTCGTTATCACGAGAAAACGGAAGGATTATCTCGTTATCACGAGAAAACAATCTTTGTTATATATATTTTTCTCGTTATCACGGGAAAACGGAGGAAAATTATCTCGTGAAAACGGGTGGAATAAAATGTATGTATGAATGACCCTTTAGGGTTTCCGTACAAAATGCTAACTTGTGACGTTAGCTCTACTCAGTTAGCATTAGCTAGTAACGTTAGCTCATCAATTGCTCGCTGTGTATCTGGATGTATCTTTGCACAGTAACGTTAGAGAACATTCTGTCCATATTCTTTTGTATTTCTGGGTCAAGTTATGCTGAATGGAAAATAAAAACGAACATAATCGTACCTGGGTCACAAATGCAGACTCTGTCCTGATCCTGGAGAACTGTGGGAAGTTCAGGTGCCGTTGAAACAGCTGAGGCGCAAACGTTTCTCTCCACAGTCAAACGACTGCGGTCAAGTGAGCAGACGTTCGTCTTTTCCTGATTTCAAGTTCGCCCGCATTACAGAATGTAGGTAGTCCATGATACGGAGCGAGCCAATCTTTCATGCTACTGTAAAATCTCTTTGATCCATAATTTCTGACAAAGGCTTGTACACTTGATCTCAGGACCATCCTGACTGTTCACTCACTCAGTATCAAGCATATTTACTGTATCATTTTGGAGAAATTCAGCCTCAAAGTTCATTATTTTGAATTGAAAAAGGCATTATGCCCTTTATTTACTCTACTGTAAAATCCCTTTGATCCATTATTTCTGACAAAGGCTTGTACACTTGATCTCAACCGTCATGTCGGCATCCACTCGTACTGAGCCACAACACAGTTTAACTACACTACATGAAGAGCTGCATTCAACATGATGATGTGTAATATCTACACACTTCATGTGATTAGATTGTTGTAGGCCTGCATGAAATGATGGGCTAATGGTTGATCAGACGATAGAACGATAGATAGACAGATGGATAGATAGATCGATAGATCGATAGATAGATGGTATTATTGTTTGGACTCAGAGTTCAGGAAAAATGACATTGAATGTGAATGTAAATGAATATGAACATAACATTGAAACAAATACAAATGAAACCACACAAAAATATATAAACATATAACTAATGCATTAGTATTAACAAAACCAAGATGATTTCATTGAGTTTTGTTAATTAAGGTCAGCAAATAAATGTATACATAAAATGTCTTATAGACATCTTGGAAAGTTAAATAAATCCTGCAGCCACAAACATTTCACACCACAAAACCATACCATAAAATGTCTATTAAGTGACATCATTATAAGAAACTTATACATTTCTTGAAGTTTGCTTTGTTTTTTGGGCAGTTGACTCAATGGGATGGATGCTTGGATGGATAGATGGATGGATGGATGTTCCGATGGATGGATGTTTGGACGGATGGATATTTGGATGGATGGATGCATGGACAGATGGATATTTGGATGGATGGATGGATGTTTGGATGCATGGACACTTAGAAGTTTGGATGGATGTGGAGTATTTTCCACAGTACACATGTAACCTCTTCATAATGGAGACAGCAGAGGAGTGACTAATAACTGTAATGATCCTTCTGTTCCATTGAATTGAACATACATTATAATTAAGCAGCCATCATTTAAACATTAATAACTCCTGTGCATTTCTGATGTAATGTGAATATAGTTGACTGTGAACATGCTTTATCTCATATATGTCAAATATTAGTTCAGGTTCTACATGTATTGGGATGAAAGTGGTATCATTGAATGAATCCTATTAAATTTTAACTTTGTTTTTGTGTTGCTTGATATGTGTTTCTTTAATTGCTTTGTTATTGTTGGTTTGAGGATGTACTGTTATATTTTGTGTCATATTGTCATATGTGCTGTGTGTTGTATGCCTATATCAGATAAAGTATTTGGAATTTGTGAATATGTTCATTATGAAATGTTAGCGGAGTAACGATAACTAAAATGTAATATTACCTCAAAGTAAGGATCAGAAAGGAATTTCCATACACAGGGAAATGTAGTGTATTTTTATTTTCCAATTTTGAGAATATCTCAGGAGTAGACAGTCGTCAGGTGGTGGAGACCCTCTCGATCTCCCACCTGGCTGCTCCAACCACACAGGCGGGCTGAAGGTGGAGCTTCTGATCCTCAGGAAAACACTGGGAGAGGATGGCACCAACTCCTGTGTCCAGGTTTTTTCGATTCGCCATTTTATTTCCTGACCAAAATATAAACCAAAAAAAGACAGACTCTGTTTTTAATGAACTTTGCGAGTGCAAAATTAGCAACATGGATAAGTAGGAAAAACAAAATGGCTGGAGAATGCTGGACTGATCCATTGTGCTGTCTGAGGGGTTTGGTGGCAACTCCTGTGAGGATTCAACATGCGTTCTGCAGACTGACTGTTACATGCTGGATAATATGGATAGTTTCAGGGCCTTGTGTCTGCAGCTTCTTCTTCTTCTTTAATTGATTTATTGGCAGGTGGCAACTAATGTCCAGGTGCATTACTGCCATCTACTGTTTAATTCATGATGAAGGACAAAGATTCAAAGGAAACACATCAAAAAAAATGTAATTTGATCAAAGCCACATTTGTTGCATCAGTCTCTATGATCAAATTGGACATTAAAACCATTATGAAATTAAAGCCTGCAATCTTGAATCCTAGGATGTTCTTGGACTGAAAAGTATATAAACACACATCTTTATGTGTGTTCATCATTTCAGTCAAGTCAATCTATTGTGAGGAGCACTTGGCTAAAATATTTGCGCGATTACAGAGATTATTGTTTTTAAAGAATTTTAACTACTCAACTCTCTGGTAAGTTGAATATTTTCCAGCTGACACTTGTTCAATTAAGCAGATTATGTTGTTATTACTTGTATGTTATTACGATTATTACAGTGTTGATACAATTTGAGTTTGGAGGGAGTAAAAGGTAAAGTAAAGATATTTTCATGTGTCATTAGTAGTTTTATCCTCATATATATTTTACTTACTATACAGTGTGGGCTCATTTTTAATTGTGCACAACAAATATACACATATAGTCATAGGA